TGTGTGTGTGTGTGTGTGTGTGTGTGTGTGTGTGTGTGTGTGTGAGAGAGAGAGAGAGAGAGAGAGAGAGAGAGAGAGAGAGAGAGAGAGAGGAGTTGAAAGGTCAGACTTACCTTTCATATTCGTTCATTGGGCCTAAGGGAAGATACTCCTCAATGCCATTCCGGCCAATGACAACCCGGGATGCGAAGAATGGGAGCTCCGTCACCTGCAGTGAGAAAAAGAAAAACAAAAACAGAATGCAGCCATTTCAACGAAAGGTTTCCCCAAGCACAGAGTACTACTAAAGGGTCCATTGCAACTGTAAAGCTGGTTAGGTTCATCGTTACCTCGTTGGATTTCATGTCAGATTCTCTGTCCAAAAGACTTGAAGAAAAAAGTTCAAGAAAACTCGATAACGTGTACTCAAAACTCCAAATCGTAAAATACCTCTATATACTGAAACTGCCGCGCATAAAGGTCCCTTGCCAAACCAAACCAAACATGAAAGTGGAATTACCAAAAAAAAAAAAAAAAACAGTTTTCAACTTCCAAGGTCCAACTGCAGTATAAGGCTATGGGGGGGCCAAAGGAAGGGTGCACGCATACACAAAGCGACGTGCACAAAGTCTCTTGTAGACAGAACCAGCAAAGACCCGCAGAGCGGGATGTCAATTAGGCAAAAGTAACTTCACGTACGTCTCATCCCGCATCACCCACCACCTTCGACCGCTGATCATTCCAATGACATCAACGCGGCAGTCCCTCCACCTAACAAGCGCTCGAGCGCTAGCTAGGGGAAACTGCCAGGCAAGTCTGTCTGCTAGAGAATTTCCGAGTGAGAGGACTAGAGAATACGAAAGGCTAAGGTATTTAATTATTTTAATACCTATTAGGCTATTAGGCTATTACTAACGATAGAACACGAGGCCGCCGCGAAGCGTTAGGCGAATTTCCGCAGGTGGTCAGCGGTCAGCTCCCAGACCGGACCCTTTTTCTCTGCAAAGTACCCAGAACCCTCAGAAACAAGTGGATCGGAAATGCCTTCTTATGAACGGCTATTTTCGGCAGCTTCACCCGGCCGGGTATTTTCTGACGAATGGAGGAATTCCGGCCCATTCGGTTTCGCCAGCCTGCAATCGTTGCGGCCTTGTGGCTTCGGTCAGACCAGGAAGCAAAATTCTGGCGAGCCCTGATAGTCCGTACACGACCTTGCGTTAATTCAGCATCGTTTTGAACCCTCTGGACGCAGCCCAGGAGCGGCCGATGTTCCCGGATTTCCAAGGCACAGCCAAAAATTCCCAAGAATGACTGACTGACTGACTGAGGGCAAATTCACAGTAGGACTTCTTCAACTGTCATCTGGACGTGATTACAGCCAGATGCATCCAGGTCTAGGCATGAACTGCCGTCAAAATCCGTCAGATACTTTTAAAAAAGAGTGCTTGAGTGAGTCACGCCTGACTGATTTCCTGGTTTCTAGCTGCCCACTTACCTCGGTGAGTCAATGGTAAACACATATGCCTGTTGATAAACAGGTTAGCAGTTCAAATCCTGTTGGATTCAGTAATGATAAGGAATAAGACTCCACCCACTCACACTCCGGATGATATGGAAGAAGGCAAGAGATGCAAGGAGACCATCGACGCCCAGTCTAATCCAACAGCTGAAGCATGGGGGTTCCTCGTCCAACGTCTGCAGACGGAGAACCAAGCCGAATTTGCACAGAACGGCAATTTGACGCGCATTGAAAAGGAACCCACCCGAAAAGCAAGAACCATCGACAAATTCAACAGGGAGCGACTCGCGAACGGGAAGTTGGGAAGAATAGAGGATAGCACACCAAGACTTTGAAATATATCACAGGGACTCAACCAGGAAGGCAACCTTCAGGCAGGAGCAGCAAACCTGCTGACGCCAACCCGCTAACAGCAAACACTCGTAGTATACCTGGACATGGCGTGCAACGCACCAACCAGGGTTTAGGGTTTAAGAGGACAACAACGCAGCGAGTCATAGTAGAGAAAAGTATAAGAGGTAGATGGGTTCTGACGTTGGTCGGTTATATGGATCCGCCGTACTTCTGGGCATAAATTCTCCTCCGTACAATGTGCACGGTTTGGAACCAGCGACCTCGGCCTCAAGAGGCCTCAAGAGCCAAGTCTCTTATAAATCACTACAGCCAGGACACAGTGTTTCAAAAATGGGAACCATGCCGGTCGCGATATCCACCCCACCCCTCTACAAGGCTGTAGTGTCGAAACGCAGCTCAACACCACACTCAACTCCCACGGATGCATTGGCAATTCTCGCTCACTCAGCCCCAGCTGAGCACGCATCCTTCACTTCAATCAATACCCACCGGGCCACCGTAACACCGGTGCTTAGCGCGCTCACTATAAGCTTTTCATGGATTAACCATGCGCTAATTAAAAATATCTCTTGAAGGCTGGCTGGCCTTATCGCTCCAAGGTAGCAAGATTACCACTCAGCTGCAGTAGCTGAGAGGAGCACAGAAGGCTA